ATTTCATGTTCTTTTTAACAGCATTTTTTCCATTACTACGGAGTGACAGTGCTGCAGTGGGAGCAGCACCTTTTCCATGGTTCCCACAAACCGAACTGCTTGGGAATGAGACTAGATTATCAGAAGGTCTTTGTCCAGGTTACACAGTTTTTAAACATGCTTTGTTTTTATTTAAATACATTATTATTGATTTTAGAGAGGAAGGGAGCGGGAGAGAGAGATAGAAACATCCATGATGAGAGAGACTCCTGACCAGCTGCCTCCTGCACGCCCCCTACTGGGGATCCAGCCAGGAAACCTGGGCAGGCGCCCTGGCCGGGAATAGAACCCGGGACCCTTCGGTCCGGTCCACAGGCCCAGGCTCTATCCACGGAGCCACCCCGGCCAGGACTGGGCAGATCACTGCCTGCCTCTGGGTCCCCGTGTCCTCGTTTAGGAACTGGGGTGCCTTCGACCCTGGAAGCTTGTTTTCCTCCGGGTGCCCTGCAGGGCCACTGGCTGGGTGACGCGGGCATGCTGCTCCCTCCCTGGGCCCCGCTCCCTCGTCTGGAAGGTTGGGGTGATACCAGCCTCCCGGGGGGATCTGTGGACCCCGGACACGGAGCAGGTGTGTGGGGGGTGGCGTCCCCATCCCTACAGGGGCACTCTCGGTCCTTGCCTGGCTCGGGGTCAGTAAGAGGGGGCACCCCCCCAAAATAATCCACTGCTTGGAAAGGTCACAGATATGCCAGCGATTTATTGATTTCCAAAAAGCAAATACATAGCGTATCACACAGGCGAACGGGGCCCGGCCAGGCCAGCACGGAGCTCTCACACCAACACGGAGCAGGGGACGGGGCACCAGACAGCTCCCAGCACCCCGGGCCCCTCCCACAGCCTGGCTGCTGCCACCCCAGCCGTCCCACCTCCGCGCCAGGCTCCGAGGGTTAGGGCCCAGAAGGACATGGGCCACAGGGACTTCCTGCCTGAGGCTCCACGGGGGGGCCAGCAAGGCGGGGGCTGGGGCAGGAACACCTGGGCCCCTGGCCCCCTGGCCCCTGAGGTCCACTCCGGCCACAGCACACGGAGGCCTGTGTCCAGCCAGCTCTTCCCAGGAGGCCCTGTGGTTTCCCAACTGAAATGCACCTGAGGTGGGGTCTTGGGGGTGCCGGCGCCCCGGACGGGTCTCTTCTGTCTCATTTGAGTGGAGTCAGGCGGGCTGGGGCCCAGGAGATGGGGGGGAGAGGGAGGGCTCTGGCCGAGGCGTGGGCTTGCCAGTGGCCTGATGGGACAGTCCTTCTGCTGGTCTATTTTGCCGTTGGGGGGAGGGGCGGGGGTTGGGGGGTCTGGCTGGTAAGTATTAGCCTCAAAGTCAAGTTCAACAGCCAGGACATGGGGCTTCTCATGAGACTAAGGGGGCAGGTGTGACCGCTCTCACCCCTCCGCCCCGTCCCCAGCTCCTCTAGAGCTCACCACCTCCATGAAGCCCTCCGTGACTACCTCACCCCGATCCTGTCACCCAGGGCCGATGGTCTTCTCTGTACGGGGCATGGCGAGGGTGGCGCCCCTGCCCAGCCCTCCCAGGGAAGGCCCCCAGGCCCCCTGCCGGCTGGTCAGGGAAACCAGGAAGAGAGAGAGCAGCTGAGCGCAGCTCTAGAGCCGAGGTCGCCTCCTTGAGGTGGGGTTCCTGGCCCAGGGGTGGCCAGGGAGTCACCCCACCTTCCAGGTGACCCTCCCCATCCCACTGTCTCTCCAGATGGGTGGACACGCCCCTGGCAAAGGTTGGCGCTCCTCGGGGAACCTGGCTGCCCCCCGATTCCTCCGTGTGTCCCAAACCCCACACCCGCCCTCACTTGAGTCTCCCAGGCACCTCCCGGGAGCTTGAAATGGCCCCTGTCCGGCCCCTCCCCACGGGGCAGATGAAGGGCAAACAGCTGGTCACTCCCTGGCCAGCCCGCGGCTCCCAGCCCCGGGTTCCCGTCTTCCTCCGGCAGCTGGTGCCTTGCCTGCCCCTGGGGACTAGCATGACACTCACAGGCTGAGCCCACGGACACGGGACCCCCTCTCCCCGGGCCCCACTCCCTTAGGAGGGACCCCACTCCCCTGCCGCGGAGGGCGTGCGGGGGCGGTGCTGGTCGCGGATATAATGGCGCTGGCAGCGCCTCCTTCACAGAAGGACTGTTTTGGACCCTGTGCTGGTTTGGGTGGCCAGGCCAGCCCCGTGGCTCTGCGGGTTGGTGGCCAGGCACCCAGACTGTCCCATGAGACCCACGGGCCTCAACACCCAGCCCCCTCCTTCCTGCCAAGCTGCCTCCAGAGATGTGGGGGCTGCCCCTGGGGGACGGTCCCCCTGCAGGATCCTGGGGGGAGCCCAGGGGCACCCACAAAGCACAGGGTAAGACACAAGAGAGCCTCCTCCGCCTTGAGCTGCATCAACAGCTGCCTAGCACCTGGGGTTCACGGCCAAGCCCATAGGCGCTCACACACACACACACACACACACGTGCACACACGCACCCATGCACACACACGCGTGCACACACACGTTTTACATATATATATACCATTTCTCAGCAAAGGAAGTATGGACATGGGAAAAAGCTCTTAACTCAAGAAAGGTCCCCCCCCCACCCTCCCCAACCCCCATTGCCAAGGGGAAAAAAAAAGAATCTAAAAATCTCTCCGTCTTCCACAGTTTTCGGGTTTTGCTCTCAGTTGCTTGAACTTTTCCAACTACTGCACAGGTGGGCAGAACAACCCTCCGGCCGGGCCGAGGCCTCCTCCGCGGGGTCGTGTCGTTTCTGCAAAGGGAGGAGGTCGTGGCAGGCGGTGAGGGCAGGGGCACCCCGGTGAGGGAGGGGCACTCCCATGAGGGCAGGGGCACCCCGGGAGGGGAGGGGCACTCCCATGAGGGCAGGGGAAACCAGGTGAGGGCAGGGGCACCCCCATGAGGGTAGGGGCATCCCC